GGTGTTCTGGTCGGTCTTTAACCTTTAACTACTGACGTGGGGGCCTCTCAGGCCTTGCGAAAGTCAAATTGTTGAATTTCTCCTCTCCCACGTGCACGACACACCCGAATCTTTTAGTACCTTCGAGTTTCATTGCGCCGAGGCTGTCAACAACAGTGCACGTGATTGCACGCGCAATTTCAGTAGGTAAATTAATTTTAAAGTTTCTTGTGGGCCTCTCAGGCCCCCACCTCAGTATTGGCGTAACTTTTTTTGTCTATAGTTTTCATTTAGTTTTCGTTTTTTCTTGAAATAATTTGAAAAAATCTATGATATGGAGCCCACAGTATGTCATCCGAGAGAAAGCGGTATCTCGGAAGTAAAAATAACCAGCATTTAACGAAAAATAGAAGAACAGTAGTTTTGGCAAGTATGCTAGGAAATGATAAGCCTGTACCTGTCTATCAAGATTTAAGCGATGAAAACAAGTGCCATACATGTATTTTGAAGATTCAAATGAAATCTACATTTTAAAAACATGTATGGCTTCCTCCACTGAGCGAAGCAAGTTTATCCAGAATGTGTTTAATTCGCACTATTTGATGTGTGTAATTTTTTTCCCCCTGTTTCATATTAGGATTACTGATATATCATTAGCTGAAAAGACTATTGAAAATTAAGATTCTAAGTTGATTTATTGAACTTATGAATATTTTTCATGATAACTTTGTGAATCATGATTTCATGAGATTTTTGCCAAAAATGCTACATGTTTTCTAAATATTGAAATAATACGTACTTATTAACAAATAATTTACATAAAAATCGTTTTATTGTATTTCAATATAACCACTATTTGAATGATCAAACGAACTTACCAAGTGAAGTTCGATCTAAATTATCCTGTTTTCGCCGAAGAGATTTATTTTACCATGTAGTAGTACCCCTGTACGACAACCCAATCCGCACACAATATTCAGCGTAGTAGTAGTAAAAAACAAAAGAGCGGGCAACCCCACCACTACCACGCTGTGGGCTCGGTGTCCGAGCGGTCTCATTATATTTAGAGAAGAGATGACATTGACGTTTACCTCCAGGGAAGAAGATATAGAAATCTTCGGGTTGGGAGGGACCTTAAATCTCTTCGGCGAAAACAGGATAATTTAGATCGAACTTCACTTGGTAAGTTCGTTTGATCATTTGTTGGGTCTAATTCTCGTCACTACACTGCACAACTTAAAATAATTACGTTTTTTGTCGGTAAAAACGTCCTGGTGACGTCACTTAAGCATTTTTCTTATACTGCGTGCGGTCGTTGCGCGCGCGTGCGCAGGAATGAGACCGCTCGGACACCGAGCCCACAGCGTGGTAGGGGTGGGGTTGCCCGCTCTTTTGTTTTTTACTACTACTGCGCTGAATATTGTGTGCGGATTGGCTTGTCGTACAGGGGTACTACACGGTAAAATAAATCTCGGAGGCGAAAGCAGGATAATTTCCAATCAAATCGTCAATGAATTTTGATTGTTGTGGTGTTAAGTAGATGCCTCTCAATGAGATACAAATAAATACGAATATTAAACACAACACAGTTAAATCAATCCATCGTTAGAATAACACACAACATGGCGTTGAATAACATTAATTAAAGCATCGACTAATTGCTAACGAGGCCGAACCGAAGTCAAACTAGCAAATTACCGTTCACGTACAAACTTGCAATTGATTGGCGAACTTACCTTCACAGTCGAAAGAATTACAAGAGCGGCCCTGTTCGCCGTAGCCTTCGCAGGTAGTTCTTGAGCAATACCTTCTTCTAGTCTGCTTCCCCCCACCACAGGTCCGGCTACACGCCCCCCACTCTCCCCACCCCGCCCAACCTGCAATTTGATAGATGAGTAGTGTTGTTGTTAGGAACTATCGCGGTTGCCCGAGTTGGGAAGGAAAAAATTGGGTACAAAAAGTTTTAAGGGGCAAGCAAGTTGCTCACTTCCATTAATCCTCGGAACCAACTCTTTGGGACGATATTTTAGGGAAAGTTATCATTGCTGTTTGGCGTGCGTGAAATTTTTCAAGTTTCGTGGGTGTTGGGACTAGTTATTTACTATTAGGTAATAGAGGGCCAAATTGTTAGAAACTTTGAATTAGATCTTAGAAACGGTCCAATCGATATGGATAGGAACTGGATTAGGTAAAATGGTGAATAATATTCGTGTCAACTTTAACTCCATTAATTCACGCAGAATTGGAATAAGTTAAATCAATAATCTTGATCGCCTTGCTACAGTTTACTTACTAACCTCATCATCATTCAGCCATATTATGACGTCCACTGCTGAACATAGGCCTCCCCCAATTATTTCCACAAAGGCCAGTTGGTAGCTTCCCGCATCTAGCGCCTTCCCGCTACCTTTATGAGGTCGTCGGTCCACCTTGTGTCATTTTACTAACCTACTGCATTCCAAATGGCGATATCCACTCCGAGGCTCCACGGTACAGCGGCCGCTGTGGCCTCCAACTACAGCCCGTCAGACAGCGTGGTCTCTAAGACCACTACAAGCTTACTAAACCGTGAGAAGACCATGGACGTACTAACCTACTGCATTCCAAATGGCGATATCCACGCCGAGGCTCCACGGTACAGCGGCCGCCGTGGCCTCCAACCACGGCCCGTCAGGCGGCGTGGTCTCTAAGTCCACTGCTGGCTCGCTGATCCGCGAGAAGACCACCAGCTCGCTTTGGGACGGCGCCATGCTCCAGTTGAAGCAGTCGCCGAGCTGCGAGCTGATCTTTAGGTTCACCTGTCTGAAGAAAAATGTTGGTTAGAACTATCAAAAAAATCTAGCGCTACCACAGAACATGCGCGCATATTCACAAACATTACTATGAGGTTTAACAGTGCGCGTGGATGCACAGGGTGACACACGACACAATCACAGAGCTGTATTCAACGCTGTGCGTTCGATTTGCTGCTTCACTTAAGTAAGCATCGTTTGTGAATACGGGCGATAGAAACCTCTTTCTATGTTTTGTGGAAACTACAATACTTTTAACAGCATTATGGGGTAACCTGTAATGTTAGAGCTATCATGACTGTTATTAAATAAACAAAAAATAAATAATTAAATTATGGGAAAGTGGGGAAATCAAACCGTTTGTAAATATAATGTCCTTCGTTGTTCTGTTCTTCGGGTAAATCGTTACCAATTAATTTGAGTTGCGATTTGCATACGATTGCGAGAAAAATAACAAAAGAACATCGATACTAGTCGTCGAGAAAAAAGAACATAGTTTCTTAGTGGCCAGTGTCGCGCGGCCAAGGAGGCGACCGTGTGAGTCCGCAACACCGTTATTCTGATTATGAAGCTGCTAGTGACTTAGGCTGGGTGGCACCATCTCACTTTAACTTTGACAAACGTCATAAATCTGTCAAACTCCATTCGAAAAACATCGGTTATCGCTATAGTTACAGTCAAAGTTAGGTGGTACAACTCAGCCTTAGAACACAATATAAAACGGCTCTATCTGTATTCTGAATGAACATACCGAATTATTCGTAGTGCATAATTATTTTAATACAAATTGGATAGGTAGTTGGGAACTTGGCAAATCTATTTTTTTTTTCAAAGTAATTTTAAATAGGGGAGAGTACGGTATATTGTACCGCCGGGTAAATTGTACCACCCTCATATTTCGTAAAGTATTTATTGAATGTCTGTAATTGCAACACTCAGCGATACACAAATAAATTCAATTAATATCGGCCATGTGGTTTTTGCCGTGACAATTAACACGTGTGTTTTATTTTGAAAAGTATTTTTTCATTGTTTTCAAGTAACTTTTGACAATGCATGTTTAGTTTGTAATTTTGTTAAATTTAATCACAGGGTGTTTCTAATACATTATTTAGAAGCGTAAATTAGTGTGGATTACAATTATTTGAAAGATTTTTCGGTATTTATAAGCTATATTTTTTACCAATTTTTTAATAGCCTTTTACCAATTTTTTTTAGCCCTTGGATTTAGATTGAGTTTCAATGGGGTTGGAATATCAAGATAATGAGCTTGGAATATCAAGGAATGGCATTGTCCTTAAAACCTAATGAGAGATTTTCAATTCTGGTTCTCATTAACTTCTTAATCCAAATTGAGGGTTTATTTTATTTTTAAGTTAGACAGTAAGCACTAGGTTACTTAGGTCCATTCTACACCCCTGCATATTTTTTTAATAATATTGTTTCAAGTTGTAAATTAAATAATTCACTGAAAATGTTAATGAGAAGTACATTCTGATTACCAGTTAATTAATATAAATAATTAAATAATTCGTCGGCCGTTTGGTGTAGTGGTTCAGAACGGACTACTATGCCGAGAGGTCCCGGGTTCGATTCCCGGCCGGGCAGAAATTGAAATCATGAATTTTAATTTCTGTGACGGGTCTGGGTGTGACTATGTATAATATTTATGTATTTAAAAAAAAAAGTATATAAGTAGTATACATCCGTTAAGCTAGCACCCATAACACAAGCATTAAGTTGCTTACTTTGGGGCTAGCTGGCGCTGTGTGAAATTGTCCAAAGATTTATTTATTTATTTATTTATTTAATTATGAGATCGATATAAATAATCGTAAATAATGTGTCGTCTACGTTTTTACAAACGTGGCTTTAAGAAAACCGATTTTAAAATCAATGTAAAGTTTGGCCCTAAGGTTGACTGGAGGAGAATGCCGACTGGCACTAAGTCCGCCTTATGTACAGTGTTAGTGCATGTAAGTATATAAATGTAATTAATCGCAATTAAGAATTAATGTAAAATACAAACTTTTAAATAGCTAAACCAGACCGAGACTCCTTCCAAGGAGTTTATCACGAACTAGTAGGTACACCGCAAACTTCAAAGGTATTCACGGACATGACCCATGCAACCCTGATAAAATTAAATTAATTGTAAAACTAGCTCCAACCCCGCGTTATTTCGGCATAAACAATTATTAGCCGAATTCCAATCCTGCTCAGGACATGCACTAGTGTTGCGGGAAAATTTAATAATTTTATCGATGATGCCATTTTCGATATCGATTCTAAGAAACTTACACTAAGGCTGAGTTGCACCATCTTCCTTTAACTTTGACAAACGTCAAAAATCTGTCAACCTCCATACAAAAAGCCCTGGTTAATGTTATTGTTACGGTTAAAATAAGGTGGTGCAACTCAGCCTAAATAAATTACTATCGACGCCATAGTGCTTATAATTCGTATCGATTTATGATGATACTTATAGAATTAGAGGTTTAATTATTCAATATACCATACCTACTAGAAGTGATTGAACTAGCGCGGGCTACTAGCTAGTTCAATCACCGTCGACCTTTGAATATTTATGAAGATCACCATTGATTACAGTTAATTCACTAACAGTTGACAAGGATTTGTTACTTTTATTATTATAACTAGCTGACCCAGCAAGCGTTGTTTTGTATTTATTGGTATAATAAAACAGTATTATCTCTCCGCGTATCGCGTTAAAACCTATTCAAATTAATTAAATTATGCAACGCGAAAGTTAAAAATCAATTAATGGTATAAAAACAGTTTAAATCCTGTCTATTCTCAAACCTACTAAATATACTTACACACAAATCATAAGAATCAGCCAAGCCGTTTTGGAGAAGTTCATTTTACAAACACGAGAATTTTATAAATTTTTATTAGAGATATTGCTAAATTTTATCGACTGATGAACCGAACATGGCGTACCGACTAACAATCGATACCGTATCGATTACACGCAACACTATCCTGCACCGCAAGTTATTCCGGAATTCGGATCACGAGGCACTTTTCCTGGGAAAATTTAATCACACGGATCGCGATCCGGGAAACTTCGTTGGTTTAATTGAGTTCCACACTAATCTTTGACTAGCAGTAGGTGTGGGAGTGAAAGTTTAGGGAATTTTGCGAGCTCTCATACGTGTTTGGTGGAACATGTTCCGAAGTTTGGAGTTTTGATACAAATTTTGAAGATGCTTCGCGTTTTTTTCTTTGTTGTGGGGCTCGTTTTAGGTTTTAGGGGGATGGAATGAGAGGTGTGGACTTAAAATGTCTGTGGCACTTTTCGTAACCTTGGTAAGTGAGTAAAGAAAGTATTTGTAAGCCTGTCAACATTTGCAAGTTTAATTTAAGCTTATTCATCTGTGAACAACGTGAAACCATAGTGCTAAAATTACTTGAAATAACTTGTAACTTTTATTGATGAAAAGTTCACTAAAGTACTTATTTCCTTGTCTCAAAAAATTATGTACTACTAGCTGACCCGGCGAATTTTGTTCCGCCTTAATGGCAATAAATAAGCAGACTTTTTTTATTTCGAACGGGATAAAAAGTATCCTATGTCCTTCTCCTGGCTCTAAACTACCTCCCTGACAATTTTAAGCTGAATCGGTTCAGCCGTTCTTGAGTTATAAGTGGAGTAACTAACACGATTTTCTTTTATATATGTTACGGCTAAAGATAGGTGTGAACATAAACTTAAGATTAGCCGGCTAAACTTAAGTTTATCTTCGACGAGGTGTTAATGTTAGTTTCTTCTATCTTTAGCCGGCTAAACTTAAGTGTAACCGCAGGCCCTTGGCTGAAAATGTAGAAGGAAATCGAAAAGGAATCAATGTAATAATGTTTACTATTTTGAAACGAAAACTTTATTATTATAAAATAATCACTTTCATTACACATACTTTTATGTACCTATGTAGGTATTCAAAATTACAATTATTACAATAACAAAATATTAATTACTCAAAACAAAATCTACCTAATAATTAAAATAAAATAATAAGGAACCAATTGGTCGTTACAGAATCTTCTGTAGGTATTTAAAATTACAAAATGCGCGTTGTCTCCCCTCCGCCCCCTCAAGCCCTCCGCTGGTCTGGCGCGCCCATCGAATACATTTTTAGCCGTTTCGTTTTGGCTAATGTGTATATTAGCCGGCTAAAGATGGAATATCACGACGCAACTAACATGTTAACGAACTTTAGCCGCTTCTCGAAGATAAACTTAAGTTTAGCCGGGTAATCTTAAGTTTATGTTCACACCTATCTTTAGCCGTAACATATATATAGATAGTGGCGCTTAACTCAGTGCCTGAGGTATGGGAGCGGTACAGCAGGGGTGACATTGATATAAAAAAATTATGACGTGACAGAGCATACAAATTATCTAAAGCGTATAGATGACCCAAGCTGAAGTGTCCCACCAAACCAATGACAGGGGGGCGCTACCATCGTTCAACTATATGGTTTCCAACATGGCAAAAATCGGAACCAGCGATCCGGTATTGACGGTGGCGCCCCGCTGTCAATGTCATGGATAGGACAGTTCAGTATTTTGGAACTATTTCTGAAGTTTCGCTGACTTTTTACGTCTCAAAAACCCTCCCGTGCCGCTCCCAAAGCTCGGGTACTGACTGTGTCAGTGCTAGCACTATAAATATAATATAATATATACAGGGTGGAATTTTGTAATGCCACCTGGAGGGAAAGTACTCTTAATACTGTAGATAGAACATTTTACTTAAAGAAAACATTCCTTTATTTTTGAAAAGAAATAGAACTGCATTCAAAGATTTCCAAAAATTTGCTTGCCACACCCGGGAATCGAACCAACTAAAATCTTGTTAAAATTACACCCTGTTTTTTTNAAAGTAGTTGCTCTAGTTGGTGGAGAAAAAATATGAAATAATGGTTATAATCAAAATAAACCAGCAAACAAGCTGATTTGACAGCTTAAAATTACTGTGTGTTTCAATAGAGTCAAAACAGCTTATTGCAAGTGCCTGAAAACACTGTGACAGGATGGAGAAGACTTTGCTCAATATGACTCATAAGCGCCCATTGTACTAAACTTAGTACACCCCTGAAAACCTAACTTCTGATTTTGTTTTTGAATTTCTTTCTGTTTAGTATTATTTCTGAAGTATTTTTATAAAGAAAATAAACATTGGCTATGTGAAATTGACCGTAGTTTTCATTTGGGCGTTAATGGGTTAATAAAGATTATTAGTAATTTGTTATTACACAAATTACTAATACTCTCGTTAACCCCTCGTACTAAGCTAAATATGCTTGTGTCACGAGTGAGCTCACCACAATAGTCGAGCGGCGGCGGGGACCGAACCCGCGTTCCCCGGATCACGAGTCGGCCAGTCCGACCCCTTCACCGTTCGGCTATCGTGGCTTTTTATTGCATCGATCGTTAGGGTCAAGTATAAGGATGATATTTCTCTAACAAACTTGATAAATCAAATGAAAGGAATCCCATAAAATCTTAAATTATTTTAATTATGTACAGAAAATTGTATGGTACGGTAGTGAATTTTCGAAAAAATTTCGAAAATCTTTGAATGCAGTTCTCTTTCTTTTCAAAAATAAAGGAATGTTTTCTTTCAGTAAAATTTTCTATCTACAGTATTAATACTACTTTCCCTCCAGGTGGCATTAGAAAATTCCACCGGTCTAGACCTATAAGCTGTTGTATACTCATGCTTAGCGTCGTGTGTTGCCAGAGCCCCGATTACGGTAATTTTTAACGTCAACAATCCAGACACGCTTCTCGATTCTGCGATACGATTGGTCGTTCAACAGCGCACGTCAGCTGTTTTGACCAATCATATTGCAGAATCAGAAACGCGTCTGGATTGTAGACGTTAAAAGTTACCGTAATCGGGGCTCAGTACATCTTAAACCCGACCAAGTCAGGTCCCAGAGGCTAAAAACTTTCAATGAATCCGCTTAAACTTAGCTATGCGACACTAACTCGTACGTGCGAAAGACAGTTCTAAACGGTCTACAGCACTCCAAGCAGTTGGTTCGTTCGTTAATAGTTTTATTACGCTTTATGGAGGCATAAGACATACGTAAACACATTAAATAGTTCTTTAAGTAAGGACTTATGGTACGGTTTATGTGTTTACCACTTTTAGCACTTAGTTTATTGTTATTGCTGAAGAAAATTAGAATTGGTCTAGATTTTGAATTAGTTTCGAGCTGACTGTTAAATGAATAGATACAGGTTCAATGTGAAAAAGTCTTTTTGAAATAGAATTCATACAATAGTGTAAATATTTATTCTTACTTTAAATGTAGCGATAATCACAGCATAGCTCAAAAAAGAAAATACTGAAAATGCGCATACAGCAGTATTACATTTTAGTTTTATGTAACACAAATCACCACTTTTTAGCAACAAAAATCCGATTAATCTATCTATATCTATCTATTATATAAAAGAAAGTCGTGTTAGTTACTCCACTTATAACTCAAGAACGGCTGAACCGATTTAGCTGAAAATTGTCAGGGAGGTAGTTTAGAGCCAGGAAAAGGACATAGGATACTTTTTATCCCGTTCGAAATTAAAAAAAAAAGTCTGCTTATTTATTGCCATTAAGGCGGAACAAAGTTCGCCGGGTCAGCTAGTGTAATATAAAACGCAATATTCTGCATTATTAAGATTAAATGTCCACTCTCCTTAATTACTTAATAAAAAAGTTAGACTCCGTTACCATTTGCAACTATCAATATTCGAAATAGATATCGATTCCAAAACGTACGCTATTTGTCTATGCGCGCGGGTTTTCGTTTTCGTAAGCTACGTAAAGCTGCAATCGACAAAGGTATTCAGTAAGATCACATTGATGAATGTAGCTTTTTCAAGTGGTCCCTTGACTCGAGGCCGATAAAAGGTTGTATGTCGTGACCTTTGTTTATTAATCTGTTCGTACACACTTCTTATAATAAGATAGAGCCAAGAAAATTTAGCAATTGACTCGTAGAAAATCTGTATAATTTTTATCAATAGTATTTAGCCTCCGAGCTTATCTTAAAATATTTTTAACAGCGTTTAGTATCCCAAAAATAAGCAAGGCTCTGAAAAAAGAAATAATAAACTTAATTGCTTCCAATAGAATCGCATCTATTTCAGAGCATGATCATGGCAGTTGGAGGAAAGAGAGCCAGTTCCTCTATGGTTGACGATTCCGGGTAGAGCTCACTTCCAATTTCGGCTAAACTACTATTTACATTAAACAATCAGACCAGCTTTCCCGTTCTGAGTAAAAAAATATCACGTGGGAGATAAACCCAACCGGTCTGGGATGCGCGCGATAGATCTTATCGATGATTTTAGATGTCAAAATATAAAATCAATAAAACGGCGTGATAAAAGCTTTTCGCAGCGCGCATCCTAAGCCTAAAGCCGATTTAGCGTTGCCACAGACCATTAACAATGTCTGCGATGCATGTACCATGTGCAAGTCTACTGAATTTGAACTTTATTATAACTGCGGTAAAACCTATAGAAGCATGTAGGCAATTTGCGGCGGCGTGCGACGCGGCGCGACGAGACGTGGCCAAATTGGTGGCAAACGAACCCAGCCGGCTCGGGACGATGCAGTTTATGTTTCTTCCTTTATGTAGTACATTTAAGTACATACTACAACTAGGTTTTGTCGGCGACTTTGTCTGAATTTTGGTTTGTAGTAGAAAGACTTGATCTAAAGTTCAAAAGTGAAATAATCAGCAAGTAGTGAATCAGCTAATGTACACAAATTTTAACAAGAGGAAAGATTTGACTATATTTTGTTTTAAATAGGATCCGAAAATACAAGACCGATTTGAAAAAATATTTCACGATTAAATTCCTTAAATATTTCTGATAAACATAGGTTGAAATGGAACGCGAAAGTTTAATATCTTATACATAGGTGGTACGGAGTTCGCCGCGTCAGTTAAGTTACTAAAATCTGCCTATTCGATACGAGTAAGCTGTTTTTCAGACTTTTGACCTAACCGTGTAAATGTTGTCAAGACACCACGATACCGTATGGAGTAGACAATACGGCTCGTATTGTAAAAAGTTGTCAGATCTTATAATGTATAGAGCCAAGCTCCTAACTAGAAGTTCTGACTAAGCAAACTCCACCCCTTAGTCAAAATGTGGCACAGCCGTTTCACTATCATCACAATATATGCGTAGGTGACATATTATTCACCGTTTATTATTTTTTATTGTACTTACAATGTTCATACGAAACAAAATCTACTTTTTTAAAAAAGAAGATTTAAATAACGTCGTCTTATGTAAAGAAAAAGAATACTCACCGATCTGTAGTATTGTATGGTGACCCTGCATATTGGCTGACGGACGCCAGCTCCACTCCTCCTCTGTATATTGACACTAGCGCTAAATCTAGTGTTTTACTCTGAAACAAAGAGAAGAATTATTATTATATTTTCTGTGAAGTTTTTCTTCACATCCGTCTAGTTTATTTGAAATTGTGAGCAACGGCACTTAAACGCGAATTATTTATAATGCAGTATACTATAGTACCTACTTACAGCTTGAAGTTTGTATGTACTCGTACTTGTGTAGTGCATAATAAATGTACAAACGTCAAGTTGTAAGTACTTTAGTAACTACGTAATAAATTTCGCGTTAAAGTCCAGTTGCTTCTTTCAAATGTAGTGGAAAGTAAAAGTTTAACATCTTAATCCGTCCAGTAGTTTTTGCGTGAAGGAGAAACAAACATCCACACGTAGCACGTTGTCAGAAACTTTCTCATAGTAAAGTCTTGGTTTATATGATAGATTAATTAAAAAACTATTAAGTGAGATTTGACATTAATGCCCGTTTTCATCAACAATCTCTAATTTTTAAGTGACCCCTATGAAAGCAAAATTCCTGTTATGTGTTACCATAGGGGTCAATTAAAAATTAGGAATTAATGATGAAAACGGGCATAAGTCTCATTCGTCAGACTTAAGTCAATTTTAGAAGATCATAAATAAGAGAATTATCTAATATAAGTAAAATTTTATAAAAAAAAATATAACCGACTCCAAAAAACCTACACTAAAACGTAGAAAAATAATTACTAATTACCTACTTATTTATTAGGACGAATTATTAATATTTATGTAGGTATACCATGATTGATACTTCTGGAGTCGGTGCCAAGANACATGATAGAAATTTTGTTTAGATACTGAAATCAATCGAGTTTAAAAACAAAATTTTGTCTTATCTCCTATCGAAAGTGAAGGAACAAGAGTTTGCCAGTGTGTTATTTCTAGGTGTTCAGTTTGCGGTAAGTTAAGTTTTATTTTAATAATTACTATCGTAAAGACGTAAAAGTTATTAAGGTAGAGAGCTAGAAATGTAAGGAATAACGAACCTGTATGAAAGAGCATTATTGTCATCTGTTTACAGTACTTTTGAATGATAAGTAACTAGGTACAAGCTTATCACACACATAAAAGCATGGTTTAAATAAAAAAAAATGTAGGTTCTGTAAAATTTTTTATTTTGCGGAAGGAAGCAAATTCGTGTAAAAGGTTTTTTTATTAAAGACCTACTTAATTAATTAGTTTTTAGAACAAAAAATAAACTCGTAACGTGATAAGGTGTAAGTAACTAATTTACTCATTACATTTTTAGTGTAGATTTGGATTAAGCTCCGTCCAGTAGTCGTCTTTGAACTCACAGCTGATTGTGGCTGATAGTTGACTGACTCATGGGCGAGCGCGGGTAGTGGGGCGCGGGACGGGGGGCGCAGCGTTTTTTTTATAAAATTTTACTTATTTCATGCTTTTTAGTTAACTAATTATTACCTTGATGTTACCACTGAAGGTAGGCAGTACACTGAGACCAAAAACAATTGGTTCATAATCGGCGGAGATATTGTGTATAAAAAAGTTCATCCCCAATTTTCCACCCTTGGGGGTGAAATATTTTCTTCAAATTCGCATGAAACCACCCTTTTGATAATACCTATTCAACAAAAAAATAATCGTTCAAGTTGGTTTATAATCGGCGGAGATATTGCGTATAAAAAAGTTCATCCCCAATTTTCCACCCTTAGGGGTTGTTTTTTTATTATTAAATTTAAATGAGACCACCTTTGAGGTATTACCTATACGCCGAAAAAAGATTTGTTCAAATCGGTTCATAATTGGCGGAGTTATCGCGTAACAAACATAGAAAAAAAAAAACATACGGGTCGAATTGAGAACCTCCTCCTTTTTTGAAGTCGGTTGAAAATTGGTCTTTGTTATTTAATATTTTACCGTCTACAGGGTTTAACTTCAAAATATTCGCGACCTTGAGACGCGAGAGACTTTCTAATGTGTGAAGTATTAATTAAGTTAGTACTTTGACGTAAACGCAGCTGTGTTTAAGAAGCACAATGATCGTATTAGTAACAAGTACCTACACTGTTGTACTGTCACGTCATTAATTATATTAAAGGCACTCTGCAAGGCCCGATTACTACGAAGCTGTTTGTATACCAAGCCGAAGAGGAGCGGAGAGGTGAAAATAACGAATCTGTTTGGCTCGTTCGTTTCAGTTAAATGACGTCCACTGCTGGACAAAGGCCTCCCCAAGGACTTCCATAACTACCGGTCCTACGCTTCCCGCATCCAGGCTCTTCCTGCGATCTTCACCAGATCGTCGGTCCACCTAGTGGGGGGCCTGTCCACGCTAAGTACGTCTTACAGCCCATAGTCGCCACTCGAGAACTTTTCTGCCCCAACGGCCAGTATCTCTACGAGCTATCTACCCGGTCACTGCCCCTTGATTATAGCAAATCTTTTTGGTTATCCAAACACATCTCTCTCCTCTGCGTTTTGGTGGAAGAAGAAAAGAACTAAGTAACCGAAGAATTCGCATTGCTAATAGAAATGATGGCCGTTATAGTAGAAAAAATCTCAAATAGCAACCACAGACTGGAATACGAAGTTTAGGCAGTCCTTCACTCAGTGGGCCGGCAATCTAGTCAAGAAAGCTAGGAAACGCCTGGTCCTTGTGGAATTCCATCCATTATAATATACTGAATTAGTAAACAATGATTGTCGTTGACGACCTCATAAAGGTAGGAAGGCGCTGGATGCAGGCCGCTTCCAATCACGCGATGTGAAAATCATTGGTGGAGGCCTATGTTCAGCAGTGGACGTCCTGTGGCTGAAATGATGATGACGATACAATGATTAAAGCTTTTTTACAATTTATAATTAATCATAATAACATTATGTAGTACACAATATTATTATAACTTTGCCACGCCATTTTCACCTTACACACTTCGATTAGCCATCACAAAAGGTATTGTTTAGATGCTATAGATTGGTCTATTACTATACTGTATCGCTCGTATCATGCATGTAGTAGATTATAAATGGAGCATAATGGCACCGGTGAGCCAAAGGCCTATTGTGTAAGCACAATACGTTTTCGCAAGTTTAGCTAGACTTTCACGTAATACCGACCTTTGTTCGTACAGCTTAAGATACAGCAATTTTTCTGATCGTAAATAAAATTATGTCTCGCATTAGTAGACTACTTGCGCCTACAGTTTTTCACGCATAAAGATAAATAAGTTTTCCTATCATTTACCCAGTGAACGCAGACATTAACTTTTTATGAACTGCTAACTAGTAGAGGGGTTAATAATATCAGGATGTAATCGAGATAAAACCCTTTACTATAATTAATAAAGGAAATTCCTACTAAAGATTAAAATCACCAAGGAATTTATATAGGTATTAAGTCGCAATTAAAATGATGTGATTATTATCATTGTCAAAATGAAATAAATGATCTTTGCAAGATAGATAATGCTATTAAAACATTAGGTAAACCTATCTCAGTGAAAATGTTGTAATAATAACTATACATAATGCTGTCTCTTAATGTTTAATTTAATTAAACGAGACATTTAGTAATTGGAATTAAAACACAATAGATATAATTGTCGCACAACGCTCCTAATCTGATTGTGAGATTAGGCAGCTCATATACCTCCACAAGGTGAAAGCAACAAGCATAGATACATAGTCGTGATAGCATTTCATTTATTTACCTGCTTAATGGTTGTTTTAACTGTCATTGCTATGTATTAGCTACAGAAATGGAAAATGCTTAACTTTAAATACAAAACTGTATTTCAGATCACTTACAGCAAAAGTAACAGAATTATATCGAAAAACAAGATGGCTAACACCGTGGCTAGGCTGTTAGACCATAGACCATCGCCTAGCATCGGTGTTACCAGATCTGTCGCCAACACTATGTATTCTTATATTGTTCAAAAATTGATTAGGAAATATTAAGCATTCAGTTCACTTTTTGTACAGACGACAGTACATCAGACTAGGTACCCATTTTTATGGCAAATTGACATCTATTACGATTGCATAATATTAAGACCCCACAATGTCTAACTTAGGCTGAGTTGCACCACCTAAGTTTGACCGCTTTGACGAATAACCGGTGTTTTTTATATAAAGTTTGACAGATTTTTGACATTTGTCAAAGTTAAAGTAAGATGGTGCAACCCAGCCTTAGTCACCTGTGACTGTGACAGTCCACAACGAAAAATCACAGTAAATCACCCATCGGATTTAGGTCATGGTTATTGATTTATCTTATTACATTTTTGGTAATAAAACTTTGGAAAGTACATACGTATCTAGTAGGTACTTATAATCAAGTATCTTTTTCATGTTATTAATAAATTGTATAAGATTTTAAACTTTCGTGTTCCATGTCAATTAAAATAGAGAAACACGGTTTTAATAGTAATAATACTTAATATTCTCGTCATTCCTACAGAAGCTTCACCTATCTCTACTTCTAAGTTTTTTTATCATCACCGCGCGGAATCTACAAAACGAGTAATTAATTCATAGAAGAACTCGGGTACCTTATTTAGTTGTGATAGGTGCTATTTTCCTACAAAAATGCGTAATCTGATGTACTTACAGTTGTCACAAACAGACGGTTGATCCGACATCATGAGGTTTCGCGCTAGTTTTTTACGTCTAGTCTTTGACGACAAAGTTTTAATGCAAAAATGGCTTACGTAGGATTTAAAATTCTTTCTACTTTCAGTTTTTCTATTCGTTTCTATCATTATTTCATCACAAACCAGATGTTTCATCCCTTTGAACAAAGCTGTAATTGAAGTTAAAATTTTACTTAGATTTAGAAAGATAACAATTTAAACGTAGCTAAGAACTCACGGCGCGATTTTCACCCGCGCCCTCGGCGGTTTTATTTCAAAACTCGCGAGAGCGGTTATTATTACGCGGTTATTCTAAGAACTCACGGCGCGCCCACTGGTGAAAATCGCACCGCGCGCTAAGTCACTGGTACAAAATGTTCGCCCACTATCAGGCGGTTTTCGCGCGGGCGAGAACCGTCGAAGCTGCGGTTACCGCGGGCCGCGCGATTCTACTAATCGTCCGCCGGTGCCACGGGACTCGCATACAACCGCGCCCGCTGCGGGCGAAAACCACGTCGTGAGTTGTGCATTAGTTTTTTACATAAGTATCTGCATTCTACAGAAGCTGCGGGCCCGCAAGTGAGTGAGTTCGTGAGCCCGTGAGTTCTTAGCCTTACTCTGAAGAACAACAATTTATTCGATAACCTCTTTTCAGGGTTATGTTGTTGTTTTTCTTGTTGATATTAAAGTTTTCTTACGTGTCTTTATCGACGTGATAAACGAAAATAATTTTATGTATAGGTACAGTTTTAGTCTATAAATAGGCTGTGATAAATTGAGATATTACTCTCTTAGTTCTTGATAAGTATCAACCACTTATTTAATCAAAAGGGAGTGGACGAGATGATCAGATTTGCCCGCAAAAGATTTATACTGAGAGATATCGTGATACACCTGTAACTTAGTTTCAATACCCCTATTCAGTATTGAATATTGAACCTAGCAAACTTTTGGATAGTAACATCATTGAAGTTAAACTGTGGAGGTTACCTGGATTTAATTAATTTCTAAGTTCTAACTCAATTATTGGATTATCCTGAGCTTGTCTGTTAGGACGCTAGATATTAGTTGGAGTTTTAACTTTAAGTTTTATTTATTAAAACACTACTAAGCTTTCCGCCCACAGCTTCACCCGCGGGAATTTTGTCTGTGACAGAAAATCTTTATCACGCGCGTCCCTGTTTTAAAAACCGGGATAAAAACTATCCCATGCCCTTTCCCGGGACTTTTTGTTACATACTACCTATATCTACCCGTGCAAAGCCGGGTTGCTAGTATTCACATAAAATAAAATAATTGCTCAGCTCTACAGATTAGAAGCAGACGTCTGCCATAAAGTCAACATTTCATTTATATTCCTGCCATGTTTAGTATCTTACCTCAATTTTCCTCACGTAACTCATCCACAAAGTCTGCTAACAAGTAAGTATGAGCTAGACAGTGTAGACTGTTAGACTGTACAGTGAACAACACATTTCGGACTATTTTGTTGAAATAACACCTGTCAAAGGGTATGCTGAATCAGAGACTAAGGCTGAGTTGCACCACCTAACTTTGACCGTAACTACACTCGGCATCAAATAAATCGCACCTCCCGCGACAAGCACTTATCAAACGTATGCATCCCCACTTCCCACCAACATAGGTACCATTTTAAAGCCTAGTTCTAAACTTCATTTCATTAAAGGAAAGGTTTTTACCCCAAAAATGTGTCTTTACAAGGATCCAGAGTCACTGCTTCAAAAAATAGGTAGTTACGCTATAGCCATTTTTTATGACTATAAAACTGTTAAGTTAGGATTAATCGCTATCCATCTGTTAAAGAGGACACGTGAGATCTTTATTTGGTTTTATAACCATAAAAATTGGTCTAATTGATCCCAGAGGTGAGCCCAAAGTGAGGTCTATTTTCAAGTCACATTTATGGTATATGTTTATCATTTATTTAGAAATGAAATGCATTTTTCTTTAAGGATATTTATTGGGCTTTCAAATAACACCAATATTGTTGGGGTACCATAATTGTGTCAGAAGAAAATCTTTAAAGTTCGCGTCGCGGAAGGTGCGGTTTATTTGATGTTGAGTGTATATCGATAACTGGCGTATTTTGTATGGAGTTTGACAGTTTTTTGACGTTTGTCAAAGTTAAAGTAAGATAGTGCAACTCAGCCTAAAACAATTCTATAAAGCACAGTTTTGAGTTTATTTTTTAAGAGAGGCGCGCTGATAGCTTTAATTTATAAGGTGAGTATAGACTATAGAACACTCGGCCTCGTCGGCACGCGCACCGACGATCGCCAAACGGCTAGCTCGCCACTCTGCCCGGTGAAGCTGGAAAAGCTCCTCAAGCTACCAGCGCGCGTCCCTTCAAAAAAAAAAGACTAGAACATTTACTTGTAACAGCCGTACAACAAGCCGCTCTATGAAATGTTTTAGTGTTCACCCTTTCATGAACCAAACGTCGACAGTTAGTTACGCTTGAGCTAACTTTTATGTTTATAAAACGGTAAAATTGGTATCGCTATTCATCTGTTAAAGAGGACACGTGAGATCACTATTTGGTTTAAAACTTTCTTAAACCCTGTACAGTCGACAACGCATCAGATTATACATGTTTTTTGCAAAATAGCAGCTATAAAGACTATGTCAAAAGATGCCAGTCACCTGTCTTCATAAACGATGCTTGCTTAAGTGAAGCAGCATCGAACGCACAGCGTTGAATAGAGCTCTGCGATTGGTTCGTGTGGCCCTGTGCGTCCACGCGCACTGTGAGACCTCATAGTAATGTTTGTGAATACGGGCGATAGTATTTAGCTTCATATGCTGTCCGTACATCGGCTTGGCAAGCTCCGACCATAAACATGGCTTGGCCAACATTAATGGGAGTGGAGAACCGAAGTAAGGTCGTTATTGTAATTATTATTATGTTATGCCCCCGGCCTTGGAAGCACCAGCTTCTAATGTATCCTCGTGGAATAGCGGGCAGATCTTGCTGAAGGCACGGCGTATCACTCCAGTTGTTGTTTGGATGTCCGCTACTCGGGATACTCCATCCTTGCCCGGGATGGTGGTGATGATACGACCGAGGCTCCATTTCAATGGGGGAGAATTGTCTTCCTTTATGACCACAAGAGTATTGGGTTGTAGGTCTCTCTTGTGTTCACTCCATTTTATCCGAGTCTGCAGCTCTGAGACATATTCTTTAGTCCATCGCGTCCAGAAATGTTGTCGAATCTGCTCCACTCTTTGATATCGGGTGAGACGACTAGTTGGCTCTTCGGAAAGGTCGGTGAAAGCAGGCGCTGTCAGCGGACGGCCAACCAGAAAATGCGATGGGCAAAGAGGTAGGAGGTCGTGTGGATCGGACGAGAGAGGATTGATAGAACGAGAATTCATGATGGCTTCTATCTGTGCAAGAACAGTGCTTATCTCCTCAAAGGTCAGATGCGCGTTACCCACTGTTCGAAGCAAGTGATGCTTGCATGATTTGACCCCAGCCTCCCATAAACCACCAAAATGAGGCGTATAAGGTGGTATCAACTTGAATTTAATGTCATGACTACAAGCAAAGTCTGCAATTTCAGAATGTGACTGTGATAAAAAATGTTTAAATTCGTTCATGAGGCCTACAAAGTTTCTACCATTGTCAGAATAAATTTCAGCAGGTTTACCCCGCCTGGAAATAAATCTTTTTAGCGCCAACAGGTAAGAATTTGTGGAAAGATCGCTTACTAATTCTAAATGTACTGCTTTTGTTACAAAACATATAAAAATGCAAATATAAGATTTGATTAATTTAGCACCTCTGCCCTTTCGGTTGAGTACGAGCACTGGCCCGGCGTAATCCACTCCACAACGCATAAAGGGGAATGTTGGAGTGATTCTCTCTAGTGGTAAGTTTCCCATGATAGGCGTAAGGGTTCGGCCTCTCAGTCGAGTACATACAACGCAAGTGTGCACTACCTGCCGGGCGAGATCCCTGCCGCTGACTGGCCAGTATGACTCACGCACGCTGTAAAGCAGCGCTTGCGCACCTGCGTGCGACAGTTGCTTGTGCTCGTGACGGAACAACAGCACTGAGAACCAATGTTTACCAGAAATTAGTAAGGGATGTTTCTTTGCGTATGTAAACATTGCAGAATTTTGTAAACGACCACCTACACGTAGTAGTTTATTTTCATCCATAAAAATATTTAATTTGCATAATTTATTGTTTTTCTTTAAATCATTATTATTCATTAACATATTATATTCAATTGGAAAGGATTCAATTTGAGACATTTTTACTAACATTAAATCTGACAATTTCAATTCATCAACAGTAAGTGAGCCAGTGCAACGTTTATTTTTGTTGCGTAAATTATAAATAAATCGTAATACATAAGCTCCTGCTCGTCTCATGCGATTAAATTGAGAAAATCGTTCAAAAGGAAACAAAGACTGTGGNTGTGGATCGGATGAGAGAGGATTGAGAGGACGGGAGTTCATGATAGCTTCTATTTGTGCTAGAACAGTGCTTATCTCCTCAAAGGTCAGATGCGCGTTACCCACTGTTCGAAGCAAGTGATGCTTGCACGATTTGACCCCAGCCTCCCATAAACCACCAAAATGAGGCGTATACGGTGGTATTAACTTAAATTTAATATCGTGACTACACGCAAAGTCTGCAATTTCAGAATGTGACTGTGATAAAAAATGTTTAAATTCGTTCATGAGACCTACAAAGTTTCTACCATTGTCAGAATAAATTTCAGCAGGCTTACCCCGCCTGGAAATAAATCTTTTAAGCGCTAAAAGGTAAGAATTTGTGGAAAGATCGCTTACTAACTCTAAATGTACTGCTCTTGTTACAAAACATATAAAAATGCAAATATACGATTTAATGAGTTTAGAACCTCTGCCCTTTCGGTTCAGTACGAGCACTGGCCCGGCGTAATCCACTCCACAACGCATAAAGGGGAATGTTGGAGTGATTCTCTCTTGTGGTAAGTTACCCATGATAGGCGTAAGGGTTCGGCCTCTCAGTCGAGTACATACAACGCAAGTGTGCACTACCTGCCGGGCGAGATCCCTGCCGCTGACTGGCCAGTATGACTCACGCACGCTGTAAAGCAGCGCTTGCGCACCTGCGTGCGTCAGTTGCTTGTGCTCGTGACGGAACAACAGCACTGAAAACCAATGTTTACCAGAAATTAGTAAGGGATGTTTCTTTGCGTACGTAAACATTGCAGAATTCTGTAAACGGCCACCTACTCGTATTAATTGGTTTTCATCTATAAAAATATTTAATTTGCATAATTTATTGTTTTTCTTTAGGTTATTATTATTAATTAACATATTATATTCTAATGGAAAGGATTCTATTTGAGACATTTTTATTAACATTAAATCTGATAATTTTAATTCATCCACAGTAAGTGAGCCTGTGCGACGATTATTTTTGTTGCGTAAATTATAAATAAATCGTAAAACATAAGCTCCAGCTCGTCTCATGCGATTAAATTGAGAAAATCGTTCAAAAGGAAACAAAGACTGGAGATTGCGTTTGAGATGTTAAAGCGAGTACCTGCTTGATTTTTGTTTCAGGTAAGTCTTTCTGTGCAATTTCAGAATAATCAGTGGACATAGGTTTTGTACTGTCAAAGGTATTGTCATGAAGTAAAGAGGGACCGTCCCACCACAAACTTGCTGAAGGCAAATCCTCTAACTTGACACCTCGTGACACGAGATCAGCTGGGTTATGTTTTCCGCTGATATGACGCCAAGGAACTTTCTTAGTGATCTCGTGAATTTCAGACACCCTAGGCAACTCTTCTAATTCCCTGAACTTACGAAGTTGAGAATCAAAAGATTGCGTAAAGTTACAGTTACTGTAATTAAAATGTTTCGCATTATTGTAAATGGGGCCTGAAATGATCCAACCTAGTTTTGTATCGTGTAAGAATGGGCCATTACATAATCTAATTTTTTCAGTATTTAACAAATCCCAAAACTTGTCTGCGCCTATTAGAATATCTATGTCATGAGACTTGTAAAAGAATGGGTCTGCCAAAAGCATCTTATCAGGAATCCTGATTTGTGCGCTTTGTATAGGTACTGATGGCAGTGCTGAAGTAATATTCGAAAGAACAAAACATTGCAAATTAGTTTTATAAGCTGCGGTCCGTGACTGAATATCGATGTTACACATTTGCGTAGTTTGTGTCACCGAGTTTCCAACGCCACGTATTTCATGAGTGGACTGTATTAGTGGTAAATTTAGTGAATCGCATAATTTCTTTGTAATAAAACTGCGCTGGCTGCCACTGTCAAGCAATGCACGCGCGGTGTGATATTTATTGTGAATATCTGCTATTTCAATCAACGCCGTAGAAAGCAAAACAGGTTGATGGACACTACTTAGATCGCATCGTAAATCATCTATGTGTGCCTTGTTTACCTGGATCGAACCAGATGTGTTCAAATTATGTGATTGCGTTGACGTCGCGGGCGTGGCGGAGGCGACGGCCTGTTGCGGCGCCTCGGTAAGCGGTTCCTTAATAGAGTGCAGCGATAACATTGATGCAGGCGATTTGTGTGCGTTTAAATCGTGCGTATTGCGGTGAACTAGCGAGTTGTGTTTATCGTTACATAATCTACAAGGCCCGAATCGGCAGTCTGCAACCGTGTGGCCCTGACGCAGGCAATTAACGCATAGGTTATTCTGTTTTACAAAATTTAGTCTACCTAGAACATCAGTATCTAAAAATTGCTGACAAGAGTATAGTGGATGCGGCTTTTTACACATTAAACATAACTTTTTCGGTTGTGTTACGTTAGACTTGCTGCTATCGTGTGTGGAAACATTGCAGTGAACCCTTGTATTGGCGTGTAAAGTTTGTTTATAGTTATTATCGGGTTTGCTGTGCGACACGGATAATGTTTCCAACATATCAGCCCTACTTTTAAGGAAGTTCATCAAGTGATCAACCTTAAGTTTCGTTTTGGAGTCACCAGTTTCAGAATATAAAGTGCCTCTAAACTGTTCCCATTCGCGTTCTGTGGTTTTATCGAGCTTTGACACTATTAAATAAATTATTAAAGTGTCCCAAGAATCTGTAGGCTCCCCGAGGACCTTTAATGCGCGTAGATTTTTTAGAACAGTGTCTATCAATTTTCTAATTAAAACTGGCGACTCTTTGCCTATTGTCTGGATATTGAACAGTGACTTGACGTGATTATGAAGTAATAACCTACTGTTGTTGTACCGATTGAGAAGCAGTTCCCATGCAATGTCATAGTTAGCACTAGAAAACTCCAATGAATCTATCACCAACTCAGCACTACCCTTAAGCGAAGATTTTAGGTAATGAAACTTTTGTATGCTAGAAATTTCAGTGGAATTGTGAACAAGTGAAAGGAAAGTATCCCTAAATTCCAACCAGTGCTCGTAGGAACCGTCAAAGGTGGGTATAGTAATGGTAGGTAGCTTAACAGAATTTAGGTTATGATTGCCATTCAACTTAGTGGTAGATGCATTAGATTTTAAGATTATGCATTCTGCCTTGGCTAAAACAGTGTAGTAAGAATCTTCGAATGATTCTCTTTGATTTAATTGTTCATCGAGATCACTGTCTAACACTGCTTCTTCTAGTTGTGTTTGAATGCAATTAAATTCAGTATAAAGACTAGTGACGCCTTGTATGCGCAGTTTCAAGTCCATAACATTCTGACTAGGCAAAACATCTATACCATCAAATGACTTTAGGTAGTTAATGAACCTTGTAAGCCTCCCTTTGATAATTCCTCGTTTTTTAACGAGTTCTCGGATCAATTTAATATCACAGTCACTGTTTGTCCTATATGGAGACTTGTCACGCGTTGAGCCCGCACTTAGCGTGTCATAAGTCTCAGATACGCTCATTTTAGTAGTAAATGAAAGTGGAGTACTCACGGTTATAATTACTGCGAAGGTGCACTTGGTGCTTGCGGTTTAATTCGGTTGAAAAGTCTTGACCGAGCGGGTAACTCACATCCACGACTGAAATCAGGAGAAGCGCAAGTATCAAACACAAATAGAGGAGATAGGTTGGGAAATAGAAAGGTTGGCTGGCCGTACCGATGCGCTTTGTGATGATGGGGCAGCTCCAGTACCAATCTTCCAATCCTGGCCGATGCGTAGTCTCCAGTATTTGCAAATTCATAGGTCGCTGGTTCAAATCCGGCTCGAAGGACCAATGTTTCGTGTGAGAAATTATTATTTCAGCCGTAGAAGATGGTGAGCAGAAAAAAAGCAGTTCTTACAAACTCAAGAATTGTATTGCGTATAAAACAAAATTGTGACATGCATAAAAAATACAAATTTGACAGATAAGAAAAGTGGCCAGTAGAAAACGCGTGTCGTTATTGCGCTCCGCACCACGTAGGTTTCATTTCGGCTCGAACAATGGAGACCAACGAGAAAAATGTAAGGAGAATTAATGCACTTTTGTTTTACTGCAGTTATTTGTTTGGTTATGTTATTGTTGGCGGTTGTAAGAGCCAATAACAAATAAAAGTTGGATTCTTGACTTACGCCCGTATTCACAAACGATGCTTGTTTAAGTGAAGCAGCCAATGGAACGCACAGCGTTGAATAGAGCTCTGTGATTGGTTTGTGTGACCCTGTGCGTCCTAGTAATGTTTTTGAATACAGGCGTATGTTTCACATTTTAAGGAAATTAATAGTTTATTTGGTTTACCAGAATCTATTATTAGATGGACTGAAGAAAATACTTAAGTTGTAAGAATCAAAATGATAAGTAGGTACTCAGCATGACGTGTCATAGGAGAGATCAACACAACGCTCGTATTTCTTGGATGGTTAAAATGAAAGAATATAAAATGCCTTGCACTCGTAAAATAACTGAACATTGAACATCTCTACTAGAGTGACGATGTCTAAATGAAAAATGGATTCTTATCTTATCGTCACAGAATCCCACTATGGCTTCATAAAATACCCTAACGCTCAGTTAATACTTCATGATAACGAAATGAATTTCAGCAAACTGGCTCATAAAAAAGACTTACTTATTAACTTTAATGTTAAATTTACGGTGGCCGCATAGGTTGTAGTGTACCTATTTTTTGTTTTTAACAATACATTTTCAAAATTAAATACTTACCGTTCACTCACATACCACAATGGCTCATTTCGCAACTTTTTATTGTCATTTTGACGTTAAACTTAAGCATTAATCCCCTTATTAATAAAAGTTAGACCCTAGTTGAACTTTTTTTTTATGTGACAGGTGGCAAACGAGCAGACGGATCACCTGATGGTAAGTGATTACCGTCGCCCATAGACACCCGCAGACCCAGGGGCGTTACAGGTGCGTTGCCGGCCTTTAAACTGTGGCAATAGTCATTTGGTAAGGAAATGTCATTTTAATTCAAAGTTCGTCCTAGGTGTAACTTTTTATTAATAAGGAGGTAAGAGGACAGAGCATTAATGATGAGACTATAATTTTAATTAAGCACTGATTTTTAGAAGTTTGTTTGTGATTTTTAGAAGATGTTCATCAATCAAACAAAAAAAAACAATTAGCTTTATTATGTTTTGTTTTAAATAATAATCCTTTGCGGTGCCTTCTGATATCGAATTAACAACATAATTATATAAGGTGTATGTTTAATTACCTTAAAATTTATTGTCATATTTCGATGATATTTATAATTTAAATATAATTATAATATTGTAAGTATTATCAGAACACCAATTATTATTGAACCAATATCCATCCAATAGAGTTCATATTCAATAGCGTTAAATAAACACTTTGTTAATTATTACGATTATTTAAGCGTAATTTAACTTCAATCGTATTGAATTTACAAATGGAAAGTAAATACTATTTATTGCAATCATGAAATCTCTTAGAATAGTAAAAGATAAAGATATTTATTTTCAAGACAAAAATAAGTACAAATAATTGTTGGTGTTACATTAATAAGGACATTATAAACAAAATAATATTTTCTTGCGGTAGAAGTGGCTTGCGGAAGATTTATTTCTATTATACCATTAATATGTTTGCATCTAAGACCTGCCATTTGTCATCACTCAAACCCACCTCGCCATAAATCCTCCACAATAGTAAAGCCATTACTTGTACGGCCGACGGCACATCAGCCTACACATTTTTATTCCAAACTCGCTCTTAATACAACTGTATAAGAGCCCACAGTATTTAGCTTGAAGTGATACAGTCTGTACGAGAAATTCCCTAAGACAGGACAGAACGTTAATATTTCTCCACAACCCTCTCATATTACACGCGAAGACTGATACAAACAGACTGGAAAGAAACGTATTTTCCCCATCGATATGCAACCAAAAACCCACCTAATATCATCTGGGGTACGTCCTTTTTGCTGTGGCGTAAATAGTATTGTTGAATCTGTGATTATTTGCACATACATTACTGGGAACAGAAAAGGCAGGACTCGGTGTTCCCCGAAATGATTCCTGTCGGATTTTCTCGCGCTACATATTTTATGACGTGGTATCTCAGGACGAGTACTTTTTCACAACACTTCATTCTGTTTTATAAATGAATCATGCCCTACTTTATTTTTTTTTGCGAAAATACGAGCGAGATGTACAAAAGTGTATATTAAGCATTAGAAATGTGGCAACCATAATATTAATTACAATTTTGTAACACATTTCCAGGTGTGTCTAGGGAATGAACATTGTAGACTTTGACTAAGATCTAAAAATTGAGCTATTAATATTGTCATGTTATCGTAAAACCAGTAAAGAAGTTTTCACCTCAAAGATTGGTTGAGAGATAGAGAGAATGTATCTACCTTAATTTGTTAAAAAAAAATCAGTTCGAAGAGAAACTTCCAGATAAGCGTAATTCAAAATCTTCATTGAATAACGGATTGTTTCCGAGAAATTTGTAGCAAAAATGTTATTTTTGTTAGAACAGAATAGTTTTCGTTTGCGTGAACATTTAATTAAACAATGGATCTAGAAAAGTTTTTATGTTGATTTTATCCTCCACTACTCATTTTACAATGTAAAAGTATAAAAAAGGAAAATTATGTTTTGTTACCTACCTTATCTCTTTTGATAACAGGGCTATATTTAAAATGAAATCTCTTAAAATAGAGCAGTCTAAATAAAAAATAAGAACACGAAACTACATTTTAATTGCTTGTAGATCACTAACAATATCGGTAAATCAGGCATCGTCAGTGAAAAGTTGTAACAATCAAACAATATTCCAAGACAGAAAGGCAATTCAATTCAAGACGATAAAAAAGTAATTTTAAAGAAAACAACAAACTTCACGGCTAATTGAACAAGCTCGAGTTCTTTGATATCAAGATGAAACGTTTAAATTTTTGTATATTTTCACTTTACGGACAATAATGATGGCCTCAGATTGTCTTGTGAAATTGGCTGGAAATAATAAAACACGAAAGCTTTTTCGATTTTGATACGGTGTAATTGAGTTTTATTGCCGGAATGTTGGTAGCTGAGTTTTGATTTCGGTAGATGATGAGGTTGAATAAAAATGATTGATGGATTTTTGTCTTAGAGGTGAGCTTATAACTATTATTTTGTCTTCAATTTGTGATTAGTAGGTTCTGTTTAATTCGTAATTATTTATATCACTTTTACCGTTAGGTAAAATAAAGTTTTTAATACCAGTTAGTTGTGATTTCGGTACCTACTCGAGTACCGGAACTAAAGCATAATGCAGGTAATTAATACTTTGGTATCGATGTACACACGGCCACACTGTTAACTAACCATTTCCGTTTTTGCTCTCGCTCTAATCAAATGGTGATTATTTGCGCTAGAACGAGATGACATGCGTGGCAATGGGCAGTTAACACTGTTGCCGATAGTACCTTCATAGTAGGTATATTATTACGTATTCGTAGTAAATGACTGGTACCGGTAAATATCATCTCAAAATATTACAGAAAAAGAAATAATTCAGTTCAAGGCAATATAAAAGTAATTGTAAAGAAAATGAACTTTACAGCTAATTGAAAAGACTTGAGTTCTTTTGATATCACGAACCGTTTGTATATTTTCACTTGACGCACAATAATTGTTGTTTCTTTAGATTGTCTCGTGAAATTGTTTGGAAAAAATAAAATATTAAGCTTTTTTCGAATCTCGAAATAATTGGGTTTTATTGGTACAATGTTGGCAGCTGCTGAGTTTTGCCTTGAGGTTGCAAAATGAGAAATTGAGTTATTGACTTCTGTGCAAGTAGGTAAAAACTTTGTTCTTTTACTAGTCTTTGCTATACCTCAATTTATTATCATGATTCCAGTTCGGTTTCCACCAAAGCGGAGTGGAGTAAAGCGGAGAAGATTTCTCCGCTCGGCCTTGGTGGAAACTAAACTAATTTTTCTATTTAATTTGACAGCGGCGGCGGCGCGGCCCGCAGCGCAGCCGTGCATAGCGGAGAGGAGAAGTGGAAATACTGAATTCTGATTTCTCCGCTTCACTCTGCTCTAGAAACCGGGCCTCACATTAATATCTTATGGCGAAGTTACACTATGCGGGATTGTTGAGACATAAGATAGTGTAAACACGCACTTCAGTTACAGTCGCCCATACCTCGCGCTTCTGTTCGAGCAATTTCCCGCATAGTGTAATTGCGCCATTAGACAATTTTACTATTCTAGAGCAACGTGGTTCAGTAGCTTATGAGAGTCTTATTACCACATCAACTTTACCCCTTATTAGAGGTCCCTAGGCACTTTACCCTTGTCTGTCATGCCGCAACATGTCTAATGTTACAAACGAATTTTGTAGAGTGGGTGGACGTAACTTAAAACTTACCTAATTTTATGGGGTATTGATAAATGGTATCATTACACAAAACTATACGTTTAATAAGTGCATCTTATAGAACTTTTGACTTTAAAACTTTTTTTAGTTAATTAATCAAAATTAAATAGCTCAGTAATCATATTATTTAAGAAACAATAAAACTTGTCACTAACATGCTCATCTTATAAGTTTTCAATTAATTTTACTATCTTCAGTCATCATAATATGTCGCTCTAAAGTTCTTTACTTTGAAATTGTTTTACTTATTTAATTACAAAAAAGTAGAGCTATTGACCATTGGTTTAACCTCAGTTTCTTAAATACTACAAGTTTTAATTTTAATTTTACATATCGCAATTTCTCTCCATCTTACCCCAATATTAAAAACCCAATATCTACCTGTCTTTTTAATCTCAAAAAGTGAACAACAACAGCCCGTGCCGAAAAAAACCGGATTACCCAAGCCACAATCCTCCAATTACAATCATGGAAGAAACAAAATAAATGAAATCGAACCGCAGTAACAAACATTCAAATCCAATCTTCTTTCGCGCAGCCGGTTAACATTTAGGCCTTGTTCCCACAGAAAAAGGTTCCCGTTTTGTGCAGGGACTGTTCACACGACAGTCCATTTTTGCGGGATTCTGTATTGCTATATCCCGAAAAGTTGGACTGTCGTGTGAACACACAAGTCATAATGTGCTTGAAATTCCAATTACCAAATCGAACGGATCGGTTTTTCGCGGGACACTGCGATATTCGAATGAATGTTCGTATTAATCTTTTTCTTCATCGCTACACTATTGCCAGAGTGGTCGTGGTCGTCACACCAGGTCCGGTGACAAGCCTCACAATCCGTCGCCATTCCTCCCGCACTGCAGCCTTTCTTGTGCACTCGTGGAGTGGACCATTAAGTGCAGCTTTGACCTGGTCAGTCCAGCGCATGGGCGACCTGCCGCGCGCTCTTGTGCGCTCAACCTTCCCCTTGAAGGGGAAACGCCAGACAAAGATCCTTTATAACCTAGAAACACACTAATATAGTAATAAACGGGATCCTGCAAAAAACGGGATATTTCCTCGGGAATCCTAACAAACATTTCAAACCCAATCCTTTCTCACGCAGCTTAACATTTACACAGATTTCAAAATGCGGTAACTCTGATTGCGGAATCCAATTCGGAACCGCAGTAATACACGTTCAAAATCATTTTATACTGAACTGAGCGATGAAATTTGCATTTAATTAAAATTGGGAATTGAGTTTGTTTTAATGTTCGACGTATAATTTGATACGATATTTGAGTGAGGACTCTCTGACACTTGGCGTGGAATGCAAATATTTGAGGCTGATCAAAAATGTAGCGATAGTTATAATGAGGATCATTTCGATTTTTAGCTGTGAATGCAGATTTATAAGTCTAAGAAATCCTTAATATACAGTCCAAAAATTTTTGTTCTACGACAAAAATTGACGAAGTTATGGCCAAATTACTAAAAAAGTTCACTGACCGCCCGGCGCGGGACCGATGACGTCACTATATCCGATCCGAACGCTGCCGGCGTACTGCGTAGATAGAAAATATTTTTTTTCTAGCCAAACTATTAGTTTTAGAAAAAAACTTGTTATGACATTTATTCATCAGAATAAAATAAGCTATTGATAGGTAATTTTTTAAAATAGAAATTGTGAAAAATATCGCAAAAAATCCATACGCTCATACGATTCAATGGAACGCGGAGACGCGATTAGGGTCTCCGCGGTGGTATATTTGGCGATTTATTCAAATAAAGTGTTCATAAGTGTTGTTAGAGTCATATCTTCATTAAAATATAAAAATGTATAAATATTAATTTATTTACTTCTAACAATAAGTATAGCTGAGGCAGATACACTCTGCCTAGGCTACAAGACATTGCTATGAAGATCATTTCGATGTACACACAATACCTACCTGTTATTTAGTTTAGAGTTAAACCTACGTACCTAGTTACCTATCTATTCGCCGTTCCCATGGGCGGGCCAGCTGCTCCCTCCTGGAAATCTATTTAATCTTAGCCTAGAAGCTGGGTATGATTCCCCTCCCCCCCAGGCCAGAAGCTGGGTAAGGCTTTCCCCTCTCCCCAGGCCATAAGCATAAGCTTGATATGACTCCCCCTAGGCCAGAAGCTGGGTATGACTTACCCCCCCCCAGGCCAGAACCAGAAACTNCCAGGCCAGAAACTGGGTATTAGCACTCATATTATGTATTATTACGTTCAATACAAACAATCATAAAGTTACACTCACCCCAACCGCGTCTCCGCATTCCATCGAATCCTATAAAAATGAGGTTTTTGGACATAGCGATACTTATTTTTCACAATTTTTATTTTTAAAAATTACTGGTCGATAGGTTACTTTATTTTGATGAATAAATGTTATTAAAAGTTTTTTTCTAAAACTGATAGTTTAGCTGGAAAAAAATATTTTCCATCCCAATAGTACGCCGGCTGCGCTCGATTCGGATATAGTGACGTCACGCGGCCCTGCGTACGTTGTCTTTTAGCGGCAAAAACGGCCTATGTTTATTACCTAATATCTTCGTAAGTAATGGTCCGATTTGGATAATTCAAAAAGATATATCTTTCTTATGTCTTAAAGATTAACGTAGATACTAGTTTTATTGAATTTTCTACAACAGTACTGATCCTCATTACAAAAACCGGTATATAAAACCTGATAGGAAATCATAAGGCCGAAAAACGTAATGGGAGAACTCCCGAACGGGTGGATAATAATATTTACTGAAGGTCGCGGTAAGCACCAGGATTTGTCTAGCAATGGACAACCATAATATGAGGTTTTCGAAAGACTAGTATTTTCATCACTATTATATTAGTATAATCTTCTATGTTCGTTCGTTTCAGCCGAATGACGTCCACTGCTGGACAAAGGCCTCCCCCAAGGAATTCCACAAAGACCGGTACCTACTGCTCCGCCCGTGAACGAATCATCTACTATTTAACAACCGAGGACAATTTTTTATATCAGGCTTAATAATACCATTCACACTTCAGAAAATCAAATAGACTCTACTAGGGACTAGCTTTCGCTACATTTACCAAAGACTCAATTTAGTACTCACTATATTAACTGATTTGAGCCTATTTCGAGTAAAACCTTTTAGCGTTGTAAATGTTACACTGACTGGATTGAAAATGTGCGGTTTTGGCATTGTGTTGATTTATTTGTGGGTAGGACTAAAATAAACATAATATCGGGCTGTCAAACACTTTCAGAGGTATTTATATTTATAAAGCACTCGTTTAATGACTTTCAGTTGATAGATGATTCCACACCTATTAATACCTACCCATCTACACTTATAATAAATCTGTAGAGAGGTCAATTCTGTACATGAAATACATTTTCAAAATAACTATCAGGGGGTGATTAGTGATCGATACTGATGCCAAAAATGCAATCAGTAAAATTTTTGTCTGTCCGTCTGTATGTTCCTTATAGAAACAAAAACTACTCGACGGATTTTAACAAAACTTGGAACAATTATTCTTCATACTCCTGGGCAGGTTATAGTATACTTAGGAATTCCCACGGGAACGGAAATTAACGGGAAAAAAACATTTGTATGAAAAAATCTAAACCGCGTAAGATAGATGAAGGGGGTAAAACGGGATCCATGCGTACGAAGTCGCGGGCGGCCGCTAGTTTTAGAATTCCTTGTTAGTATGATTAGGAATCAATTCTTCATTATTATCAGGCCTTTTTCGTGCGTGGCATCCCATTAGGTGGACCGACGATCTGGTGAAGGTCGCGGGAAGTACCTGGATGCGGCGCAGGACTAGTAGTTGTGGAAATCCTTGGGGGAGGCTTTTGTTTCGTAGTGGATGTCATTTGGCTGAAATGAACGAATAACGAAGATTTTTTTTTATCCACAACGAGGAAGCTCTTGGCCTGTATCTCACCTGATGGTTAGTGATGATCAGGCCGAAAGTGGAAGAGAGCTTAACCCGGAATCCTCAACCACGGAGGAACTGGCTATCCTACCTCTAACTGCCGGAACACAACAATGCTGTTAACATTGTTGTTATGGCGACAGACTTAGATAAGATGGTGGTAGCTAGCCAGACGGAATTATAACAAGCCCTACACCAACCAAACCGAACAGAAAAATCTGCCCCCACTGGGAATCGAACCCGGGACCTCTGCGTCTGAAGCAGGTGGTCTTACCACTAGACCACAGAGGCGCTTAAGATACCTTTTTCAAGGCACGTTCCGAGTATTATTATAGCTTGGCCTATCACCACTTCAAGGAAAGATATCCAACTGGTACCGAGAAGTGGTAGAAGAAACTACAACTTTATATCAAGAGTAAAATTGTTTTTACTTTGAAGAGCTTGTATTTACAATTAGTTTCAAGTTTAGCAAGTTTCTATTATGTCTGTCTGAGTTTAGGGTCGTTTGGCCTAAAACTATTACACACTGACCTCTACTCGTGGATGTGGTACAGATTAAATCAAGTTTAAATTCTTATTTAAGCAAACACTCAAATATATTTTTAAGTAATAAGTAGGTAAATGCGATTGGCGTGCAAAAGTAACAACACTGTCTGTCTGTTCATTACTTTTTCGCGCTTTATAAATCTATTTTGATAGATGCAGGGAAAAACATATTATTATATTATTTTTATTACGGTTATTGAAATTGAATGTTTTTTTTAAACAGACCGAAAAGCAAATATTTTTAAGTGAATAGAAGATAAAATCTGAGATTGTGAATTTCTGATCCAGTAGAAAGATAGCTACTGAAGATTCCCACTTGATATTGTACACATTTTCCGGGAAATGCAGAAATATGATATTGTACACATTTTCTTAAATGTATACTTTGGCAAGCCAAAATATACGCTACAAAGTTCAGTAAGTTAATAAAGAACTAACTTTTGACCACGGCTCTACCCGCGTCAATATTAGTCAACTGTGAAATAGGTTTAAAATTACGATAAAAAGTTTATATGATAGATGTTTGTTTACACAAAAACCACTGGACAGATAGCACAGGGCTAAATATATGTAAGAAAAACTTAGAATTTTTTTTCTGCTTGACCTGTGGTTGACTGAAAGAATGCCACCGGGCATTAAGTCCGCCACTGTACTATTTCAGAGCAAAAGTAAAATAAATAGATTACTTACCAAGTAATGTGTCTGAACTACGACCGCCCTAAACACTATAGAAGCGTCTTGGACTCGCGTCTCCAACGGTTTCTCCGCATACTTCGGGCATTGTCCATCACACACTATCGTTCGGCACAGAAACAGAACTAGCACTACTAAATCCTTGCTTGACACTCTGCCCATGGTCGGACAGTAAGCCATTTTGACACCTATCCTCTAAACGTTTGGTTACATTATCGAATGTCACGTTCATCGCACAACACTGATCTTCGCTCTCCGCTTCCTCTGCCGTTTTCTGCTTTGCATCTTTGTCTGAAACAAAAGGAAAACGAATTAGAACATGTTCTTTTATCAAAATTAAGTCACCGTTGAATTACTTTTTCTTATTAACAACTAGCTGACCCGGCGAACTTTGTTCCGCCTTAATGGCAATAAATAAGCAGACTTTTTTTTATTTCGAACGGGATAAAAAGTATCCTACGTCCTTCTCCTGGCTCTAAACTACCTCCCTGACAATTTTCAGCCAAATCGGTTCAGCCGTTCTTGAGTTATAAGTGGTGTAACTAACACGACTTTCTTTTATACATATACAGTGTGTCCGGGCATGTAGTGATCAAACTTTAAGGGCGTAATCTATGGACAATTTTAGCGGTGAAAATACTTTAAATTTGGGGCTTGACCCATTTCTCGCATATTTACAAGGATTTAAGTTTTTAATTTTAAGTTTTCACCTCTTCCTTAAAAAAAAAGTGATAGCGTGGGTAGTTTAACATTAACCCACTTACTCCTACCAGGTGTTATAACACCGCTAAAAAGTAGTTCGGAATATCCTCAGATAAATTATAAAAATATCGAGAATTTGTTTACTGTTCCTTGTATTTTCTCTTCATTACGAATCAAGCTGTAATTGAGTATGTTCGATATCGCATATTTACTTTATTTTGTTAGTTTTTTATTATTTTGAATTCTGTTATTTAGTTTTGTGCAAAAACGTCTAATAAATGGTAAGATATTTCATAAACTTGCTATTAATACCTCAGATTATACTAGTTATTATTTTATGTACTACTGTTTGCTACAAAACAATAAACATATGTTTTTGAAAAGCTTTACATTTTTGAGACTTTTTATGACAAAATTACGATCGGTGTTTTAACACCTGGTCGCATAATCCACGTCTAACCTGTATATTCATTAAAAGTTTAGGCCACGATATAAAAGACCGCTGAGACTTCACGAAATTGTGGACGTATTAGAAAACATTGACGACGATGCCCAGATACCGAATCACATAGCAATTTTACCACCAGAAAATGCTAATGCAGAAGCAACGGATGAATATTCTGGTGAAGAAGACCACATTATTGGTATTTGAGCTATTCTACAAAACGAATGTAAATTTATTAGTCTACGTCTATTAATTTCGACGTAATTGTTGAACAAAGGTACCCCTTCCCAGCGGTTTCCATAGCGCACGCGACATGCGAAAATGCACTGCCTGAAAGAATCGCACAACCTATTCCGATTATTCCGATGTGAAAAAAATCATGTTTATTTCTAATTAAATCCATTCTTACTCCCTTAAAATGTTTGAAACTTGTGTCTGTTTTCTACTTCTACTAAAAGATAATTTTATTGGCTATCGCATGATATAAAATATTTGCTCATTAATGTTAAGTTACCCACGCTATCACTTGTTTTTGAAGGAAGAGGTGAAAACTTAAAATTAAAAACTTAAATCCTTGTAAATATGCGAGAAATGGGTCAAGCCCCAAATTTAAAGTATTGTCACCGATAAAATTGTCCATAGATTACGCCCTTAAAGTTTGATCACTACATGCCCGGACACACTGTATATAAGATGCTCATGGATCGAATTAATGGTAACCGTATCCTAATAATTATGCCAGTATTAAGTGTTATAATTTTTACAACAAAATGCGTGTATTTGTCAAACGTAACGTAACTTTTTAAAACGTCACAGTAAGTTTTTAAATTAATAATATGATTGCGTCATTAGCTCTAAAGATAAATAATAAATTGAATCATTAAAATAGATCGACCATGCTTCGTTCATCATACATATTAATGTATTCGTATTTCGGCATCCCTAGAAGTTAAAAACCAGATTTTTGTTCAACCGGACGAAACTCCGTAATAAATAACTGTGTACAACTTTTCCCGCGCAAAAATATTCAGCCATCTTTAATTTACGGACTTTGTTATTTGTTGCCGCGATTTGAATTAACTTATTTAAAGTACGTGACTGGAATACTGGAACGAGAGGTCAAACAGGAATCCCAATTTACTTTTTATGGTGGTTTTGGCATTTTAAATTAAGAGTTGCGACAAGATTTACATTTTGTATGAATTGGGATGAGACGTTGTTTATCTATGTATGTAAGTCGTTCGGAGGACGGCTTAGCGGTTAGATGATTTTTCGGGGGTTCTGGATTCAATTCCCAGAATGGCACAAAATAATATCACTTAATGTATGCGTTTTTATTAATGCGTAGGTATGTGTTCATATTTTAAATTAGTTAACTGTTTGAAAATAAATTACTAAAAATAAACCCAAAAATTAGGAACTATTGTTTTTTAGAAGCAGCACAACTTTTATTTTATTTTAATTACATGGGAATAATAGTAACAGCACAACATCATTTGAGGTAACAATAATATTATATATTATATTTTGTAAGCTTTTCCTTATTTCCTTTCATAATGACACTAGTTTGTCATAATAATTCTCAAGAAATTATTCCTTAGCAATGTGTCTTTATTAACAAATTACGTGTTAATTACTCCTTAATTACACATTACCCTCACGAATAGCTAAATTAAGGTTGACGTCATTAATACGTTAAAGGCTCTATTCAAAATATTTAATTATAATTTAACCGTTTCCCCGCTAAGTAAGATTAAATATTATTAATGGGCGAAAGGAAGTAATTGAACAGGCGTATTTTAACATGAACTTTGAAATGTGATTGATGATCTGTAAAATGACTGATCTAACTGTAATTATTTGATCAACAAATGTAAAAGAGAAGATGTTACTAATTTGTAAGTCATTATTTTTATTTTTAGATAAAAAAGTTAAGTTATAATGGGTTTTCGACAGAGATAGCTTGGTAAAAAGAGTGCAGAACGATCCCAATTGATGGAACAATTACTTCAAGAAAGAGGCAATTGGCAATCACTGGATGAAAGAAGCGGGGAATTTCTAGATTAGATGCCGTTTGGTGTAGTGGCTCAGAACGGACTTTTATGCCGAGAGGTCCCGGGTTCGATTCCCGGAAGGGTAGACATTGAAATGATAAGTTTTAATTTCTGTGACGGGTGTTCATCTCAGTAACTAGAAAGTACAATGATAATGATGATCTGACGATGAAAATTTTCAGTCAAACGACTTTGGATTTATGAATCCCAAATCACTGAAACAACAAACAAACAAAACTGCCGGCATGACGCTCCGTTTGACAGCTGTCAAACAGTGTTAGTCAAAAGATAGATTTAACCTTTGAAGCTTGCGATCAAAAGCGTGATTTTCAAACGTAAACCGGTCGTTTCCAGTTCAACACGCGTGGAAATGATTATTAATCGTTCGAAAACAAGCGCCGAATGGTTAACGAGTGCACATATTAGCTGTGGGCCGGAAAATTTGTTTCTGATGACCGTAGTTCTTTACGAATGGCGGAAAACTCGTTCAAGTTGCAACAGTTAATTTTTAACTTACATTACGGTGAGCAGCTTAAATGAGTTTCGGTTTACAAAGAAAACCAAATAAGTATCAATACACTTTCAGAAGATTTTTTGCTTAAATCCATATTGTAAACCTAGATTAATATAACAGCGCGAGTAGAGCCACAACTTTATTTTATATATTTACTAGCTGACCCGGCGAACTTTGTTCCGCCTTAATGGCAATAAATAAGCAGACTTTTTTTTTTAATTTTGAACGGAATAAAAAGTATCCTATGTCCTTCTCTTGGCTCTAGGGAGGTACCCTGACAATTTTCAGCTAAATCGGTTCAGCCGTTCTTGAGTTATAAGTGGAGTAACTAACACGACTTTCTTTTATATATATAGATTTATATTAGAAACACCAGGGTTTACATTATTACAGTTATTTATTATACAAATATAATCTAATTTAAATAATTCTTCCCTTTATTAATCATGTAGGGCCTTGAATCTGCCTCTCTCACGATTCTATTCCACCTACCGATGGAAAATTCCGTTTCCATACCTAACTTTCCAGTTTCCCACTCCATCTTCATCAACTTCGACCCCATTGTGTACCAAATACGTCACAAAGGACGTCATTAAGTATTTATCAAAGTGCTAATAAAGCCCTATTAGTACTCGGGCAGAAAATTAATTTTTGATACATTACGTCGAATATAACCACTGAGTCGTGACTGTGCCCAGTAGACTGCAATGAACGCGGGAAATCGCACAGCGGGCGGATGTAAAAAGCAATTGCAGTCTGCAATTTACAATTCTTCGGGGCTTTCGAAAATTATACTTATTACATTTTTGAAATATTTTTACTATAAGACGAGAGAGAGCGAGAGACGTGGTCGCTTACTATGGGCCTCATAAGAAGGCTCAAGGTCACCCAAAGGGCTATTGAGCGTGCTATGCTCGGAATTTCCCTGCGTTATCGAATCAGAAATGAGGAGATCCGTAGGAGAACCAAAGTGACTGACATAGCCCGCTAAATTGCTAAAATCAAGTGGCAGTGGGCGGTACATGTAGAGCTGATGGCCGCTGGGCTGGGGCAGGAAAGTTTTTGAGTGTCGACCACGAGCCGGAAGACGTAGCGTGTGCAGGCCTCCCATTAGGTGGAACGATGATCTGGTGAAGGTCGCGGTCTTTGTGGAAATTCTTGGGGGAGGCCTTTGTCTAGCAGTAGACGTCTTTCGGCTGAAACGAACGAACGAACGAACATTTTTGAAATGTCTCTACTATTAAACCTTAGTTTTGTTGGTTTCCAATTTGTATAAAGAATCATCCGATACCAAATCGGTGTAATGTACGCACTTCCACACATGTTCGTACTGATTAACAGCCCGACTAAACTATCGGCCAACTAAAAGTCTGTTCACGGGGAGGCTTAACACTGGCACCACAGAAAAACAAAACACAGTCTTCTTCTTTTTTGATGATGTTGGCAATACACATCGAGGTCGACTTGATTTGTGGCATTTTCAAGTAGGTATATAAGTGATACGAGTTACAAATGAGATCAAGTAATGATATAATGAAGGATGATAGATGATACCCCTTCCCACCCTTTGAGTCTC